AGCATAATCAGTTATCAATTCTAGGAAATAAATTATCTTCTTGGCAAAGAAAGAATAACTTTTTCCTATGCTGCACACACAACTAAACTAAGCAAAGAATATATACAGAATAAAGAAAGAAAAGAAACAGGGAGAAAAGAAGAGAATGGCAAGGTTATAATCAGTTAACCACAAGCTATGAGAAACATAAAAGAATCAGGATCACCTGGGCTGGGGCAAAGGGGCACAACTTAGAAATGCATCTAAAGGCTGCAGACGGTTACTTGCTTTGACTTCGGTTGCTAAAAAGTCCAGATGCGGTAGAGTCCGGAGATTCTTGATGAATTTTCTAGGAGTGCGCGGAAGCTTTCGTTGAGTTAGTAAGATTAGTTGCCGGAGAAAGGCAGGAAACGTAGCGTCTCAAAAGAGATTGAGCAAGGATGTGCTTGATCAAGGAACTCTTAAAGGCCATATCAGTCACACCCATTTCTCTGATTGGCACTATGGCAATATGATATAGGGACATTCATAACACAAGAGAAAATACTATATACATTTGGGACAGTTTGATTGTGGGTAAATGGAGCTAATGTCCTTTTCATATGTGAATTGAAAGTTTGTCTCTGGGCCCAAATGGCTGGCGCTGTCTGGTGATGGGAGGTGGACGGGGGTCACTGTCTTTGAAGCATGAGGAGAGCCCCAGACACCATCGTGGAAAGGACGTGGGTCTTGCGCGTGAATAGTTTAAAGTCATTTTAAAATGCACACAAAAGAATTGATCATTTTATGAGAAGTATCTGAATCCTGATCTTAAGTATTCAATTTCCAACCCTACACACAAATCACACATACATGGGAAATGGAAAAGTGAAAGTGAATGACTGGAACAGGACAGAGTAATGAAGTTACGAAAAGTCATTTGACCACCCGAAAGAACCACCAGTTTCTTATTTCAAAGCACCTCAATAAAAGGGGTTTACCGCTTATCCTGTTATACGATACTTGTAATTCCTTTGCAGTTAAAGCAGTCTGTGAAGTCTCTGAAGAAGGTTTTGATGGTTCCATGTGTCGATGGTGTTGAAGTTGCATTCGAACTTGTGCTGTTAGTTCGACTCTGTTATGGTTGAAGTTGCACATGGCTTAATGTGTTGGGGTCTGCCGGCCCATGACTTCGCTGTCGGACCGGGTTTCCGGTCCAACACGCACAGCAGCCAGGATAAGACGGAAGAGAGGAGGGAACTTTGTGTTGGCTTTTAGGCAAGGCAAGGCAAGTTTATTTATATAGCACATTTCATACACTCTGGCAATTTAAAGTGTTTTACACAGAAAGGGATTAAAATGAAAGCAAGGAAAATTAAAACTGCTATAAAAGGAATTAAAAGAGATACGGTATATGATACAGTTATAAAATGAATTAGATGAGTAAAAAGATGATACATAGATAGACCTCTCATCTGGCAAAACACTGGTGTGTCATATTTTTTACAACTCCCAGTTTTACTCTGGGATGTTCCCATGGGGATTTCACTGTGTCTGTGGTGTTCTTACGGCGCGACTAAGAAATATATTGGACGTAAGCAAGAGCATCTGAACAGTAGCGCAGCAGGATTCATGGAATTTTAGAAATTTAGGAATCTTAGGAATTTTAAGATTAGAGGTCACACCTCTTGAGTTTTGGCTTGACCAATGAGAAAGGTGCAATTTCCAAGTGGGAAAATTCCTCTGTTTGGAGGTTTTATGGCCCTTTGTTTGGAGCATGGTTAGAATGGGTCTGTCAGTTTGTGTCTATTTATACTCTGATTAATATAACAAACACACACTGTATTCTATGAGGAGTGATTTACACTAAAGTGTAAGTTGTCAAATGAGCATTATTGATATTATCGATCAAAAGTTCAGTATGGCGTACCACAAGGCTCAGTACTAGGACCGTTGTTGTTCACTCTGTACATGCTACCCTTAGGAGATATCATTAGGAAGCATGGCATTAGTTTTCACTGTTATGCTGATGATACTCAGCTCCATATTTCTTCACACCCTGACGAAACTTACCAATTCACAAAATTAACGGAATGCATAGCTGATATAAAAAACTGGATGACAAGTAATTTCCTACTACTTAATTCTGAAAAAAACAGAATCTAATTATTTGACAAAAAACTTCCTCGCATACTAACCTAAAATACTGTCTAACACCTGATGGCTGCTCTGTCAAGTCTTCGTCGTCGGTTAGGAACCTGGGTGTGCTCTTTGATACCAAACTTTCATATGAAAGTCACGTGTCTGTCTAGTATCTGTAAAACCGCATTTTTCCATCTTAAAAAATATATCTAAATTATATCATATGCTCTCAATAACAAATGTGAAACAGTTAGTTTATGCCTTTATGACATCAAGGCTAGATTATTGTAATGCTATTACGGGTGGTTGCCCTGCATGCTTAATAAACAAACTACAGCTGGTCCAAAATGCAGCAGCTATAGTTCTGTTATAGTTCAGTTCATCAGAAGAGATCAGAACCAGAGCCCAGCTGTGTGTCTATGAGGAGTGGCACATCTATGGATCAGCCATTAGATTTTAAGAGTGGAGATACTCAGACTGATCTCTTGTATTACATTTATGTGAAACATTTGGAAATATGATACAGAATAAAAAATACATTGTGCTTAAGACTCATGTAATAATGTGATGTTTTTATTTTACAGCCATGTGGTCCACGGGTTTAGATCAAATCTGATGAAGAAGTTTGAGTCTCTGTATGAAGGAACAGCAAATCAGGGAAACCCAACACTCCTGAATGAGATCTACACCGAGCTCTACATCACAGAGAGTGAGAGATGAGAGATCAGTATTGAACATGAGGTGAGACAGATTGAGACACAATCCAGAAGAGCAGCAACAGAGGACACACCGATCAAATGCAATGACATCTTTAGACCTTTACCTGGACAAGACAAACCCATCAGAACTGTGCTGACGAAGGGAGTCACTGGCATTGGAAAAACAGTCTCTGTGCAGAAGTTCATCCTGGACTGGGCTGAAGAGAAAGAGAATCAGGACGTCCAGCTCATATTTCCACTTCCTTTCAGAGAGATCAATCTGATGAAGGACAAAACACTCAGTCTTTCAGATCTTCTTCATGTCTTTTTCCCTGAAACAAAAAAAATTGAAATATCCAGTGATGAATATAAAGTGTTGTTCATCTTTGATGGTCTGGATGAGTGTCGTCTGTCTATGGATTTTCAGAGCAATGTGAGGTTGTGTGATGTAAGTGAATCAGCTTCAGTGGACGAGCTGCTGACGAACCTCATTGTGGGGAATCTGCTTCCCTCTGCTCTCATCTGGATCACCTCCAGACCAGCAGCAGCCGATCTCGTCCCCTCTGAGTGTGTCCATCGAGTGACAGAGGTACGAGGCTTCAATGAGCTACAGAAGGAGGAATACTTAAGGAAGAGAATCAATGATCAGAGTCTGGCCAATACAATCATCACACACCTGAAGTTATCAAGGAGCCTCTACATCATGTGCCACATCCCAGTGTTCTGCTGGATCTCAGCCACTGTTTTGGAGAAGATGATGAGCGAAGCAGAGAGAGGAGAGATTCCCAAGACTCTCACTCAAATGTACACACACTTCCTGATCCTCCAGACCAACATCAAACATGAGAAGGACTATGAGAAGAACGTGACAGATGAAGACATGATCCTAAAACTGGGGAAAGTGGCTTTTCAGCAGCTTGTGAAAGGCAATGTGATCTTCTATGAGGAAGACCTGAGAGAGTGTGGCATTGATGTGACAGAAGCATCAGTGTACTCAGGATTGTGCACTCAGATCTTCAGAGAGGAGTTTGGCTGGTATCAGGGGAAAATCTTCTGCTTTGTTCATCTGAGCATTCAGGAACATCTAGCGGCTCTATATGTGCACCTCTCCTTCACAAAAAACAACAACATAAATGTGTTTGACCCAATCACCAAACAGAGTTTATGGTCTAACGTTAAGGACTGGTTTCAACTAATGTTTAAACATGTGTCATTGTCTGCTCTGCATCAGAGAGCTGTGAATGAGGCTCTACTGAGTAAAAATGGAAATCTGGACCTTTTCCTGCGGTTCCTTCTGGGTCTGTCAGTGGAGTCTCCTCAGATTCTCCTACAAAGACTAATGAAACAGACAAGCAGATCTGACAGCAATGAGGAAACAGTTGAGTACATCAAGAAGAAGATCAGGACCATTGACTCTCCAGAGAAATCCATCAATCTGTTCCACTGTCTGAATGAACTGGGTGATCATTCACTAGTGGAGGAAATACAACAGTATTTGAAATCTGGAAGAATAAGTGAAGCCAAACTCTCTTCATCTCAGTGGTCAGCTGTAGTTTTTGTGTTGTTGACATCAGAGAAGAAGCTGGATGAGTTTCATCTTGATAATTTTTTAAAAAGAAACAAAGCTGAAAATATGAAGGTTCTTCATAAGCTGCTTCCTGTGATTAAAGAATCCAGATCAGTTCAGTAAGTAAGAAAATCTAAGTTAGAGAAGCTGCAGATGTTTTACCAGTTATTTAAAAAAAAAAAAATCACATAAAGAAGAAACTTGAAGATTTGTTATTTTTAAATGGCATGATAGACCAAGCAAAAATGCAGGGAGGAAAAACCCAAGCGAGAACAACCAAGTGTAAAAGCATCCCATAGTTATTAATTAATATTTATTTTTTATACTCTGGGACTTCTGCCATTTTACAGACAGGTGTAATGATAAGGGAGGTCCAACATGCAGATTAGTTTTAAACAAGTTTAAAGTTAAAATTGCATAAATATTGATCAAATTAAATCTTTATCCTTTTTTATTTGTGTGAATTTTACCATGAAACTTGGATAAGAATTGGAAATTAAGAAATGCATGTTAATGTAGATTTTTTTTCTCATGGTATGAATGAATTACATTGGAATTGCAAGTTAGTGTTTATTGCAGGAAGTTGTTTTTTCAGTTCATGGTGTTTAACAAGTATGGTTTTCATCTTTCTACAGGTTGAGGGATTGTGGTGTCACAGATGAAGGTTTTGCTGATCTGGCTTCAGCTCTGAGATCAAACCCCTCACACCTGAGACAACTGGATCTGTCTGGGAATAAAATAGGAAGTTCCGGTGTAACGCTTATCTGTGCTGTACTCGAAGATACTCACTGTAAATTGGAGCAACTGTGGTAAGATCATATTTGACACTCACAAATGAAACACAATATAATTTATGTTTGAAGTGTTCAGACTCTTTCTACTGCTGTGAGTTCAGCTGATAGAGCTGTGAATGATTGAACAAGCTTCTCCTCAGCGATTTTTGTACCTTCAATGACAACTACGCAACTTCCACTTTGATGCTTCAAAAACTAAAACTAATTCTATATGAATTGAGTGGTTTAGTCCAAATTTTCTAAAGAGACACAATGGCTTTATTTGATGAACAGATTTAATTTAGGCTTTTAATGACATAAACATTCATTAACGCACACATCAGTTGTGGTAAACGGAAGCTTAAGCATGCTTGCTTGATGTGCGAGAACCAATGTAACGAAAAGGTTCATTCTCGTGTGTTACGCAGCACGTTTGAGCTTCCATAAAAACCAATGAGGTTTGTTCTCGTGCATCAAGCATGTACGGTTGCGCTTTTGTTTATATTTGCTGATCAATGTTTATATATGAATAAAAGTCATATCTTTTCATCATATAAAGTGATCATGCCTCTTCTGGAAATTTGGACTAAACCGCTCGATTCGTATGGATTAGTTTTATGATCTCTTTATGAGCTTTTTAAAGCGTCAAAGTGGCAGTTGAGTAGCTGTCAACAGAGGTACAGAAATCGCTCAGGTTTTTTAAAAATTTCTTCATTTGTGTTCATGAACAACATGAGGGTGAGTAAATGATGACAGAATGTTCATTTTTAGGTGAACTAACCCTTTAATAGTAGGGTTGCTTGTCTAATAGTAGAAGACTTTTATAAAGAAGCTAAAAGCAACTTTCAGCAAAGTCTAAGACGACTGATTCTTAAGTGCTGACTGAAGTGGCACTTAAGTGTTGTGAATTAAGGACTACAATTATGTCAATCCAAAATGGCCGTCCTCAACTTCCGAATCAGCCAACAGTGAGCCTGCGAGGGTGAAGTCACCGCTGGACTGGAAAAAAAAGAAATTGGCCTTGGCATTTTGGGCCAGACTGGCCCACCACATATGATCATTAACACCACCCATCTTTGCACGCCCTTGAATATGTATACCAACTCCTATTACTTAAAACCACTAAAGCCGTAATGAGTGAGCAGGCATGAATAAAGCCAAAACAATCTCTGTTACCGTAAATTGTATGTTTATCTCTGTAAAGCTGCTTTGAAACAATCTCCATTGTTAAAAGCGCTATATAAATGAAGATGACTTGACTTGACTTGAATGAGAATTAACAGATGAAATAACTCAAAAATGATTAATTTATTAATGCAATTGAAATATACTCCACAGTAATGAATCCTAAAACAAGCTAAAAGCTGCATTGCCATACCAATACCAATGTTTCCCACAGTAAAACTGTGGTGGGTGGACCTCTGTCCCTCTAGGGGGGTTCGTGGGCATGCCACCCGGAATAAAATGTTGTGAATTTTAATGTTAAATTAACCAATCTGGTGCACTTTTTAGAGTTCAAAATTAAGAGCTCCAACCCATAGTCAGTGTGCAAATTGAACAAAGAAAAACTCAAACCTCTTTTAGTTGTGATAGGCTATAGTGTCTCAGTCTACATTACACTAATAACTATTATCATTATTATGTAATCCCATGACAGTAATAGCCATATATTGTAAAACAAATGCACTGAAAAATAAAGAAAAATGTCATAACATAATGGACATAATGTCAAAGTTGTCCTAATTTCTATACTTGAAAGAGATAAACACGTGATCTTTTATTTTGATGGAAATTTGATGGAAAATATGTTTACAAATGGTTCTCATTACAATTCTAATAAAATGCGGTAATCGTCAACTATGCAGATGTAGAAATAATGCGTAACTGGGTAATGGGTTCTTACACTCATGACATAGCCTAAGTGTTTTGAAAGTAGTTTTGCTTACCGCAGGCTCTACACTCACTCATCTCTCTCCTGATCCTCCTCACTATCATCATCAGCCACGGGAGCTGTTGAAGGTCCTGCTGCTGCAGAAAACATTATGTTATATTGACACATTTTACCGCGTCTTTTTTTCCACGCTATTTCTCTGCACATCTCCTTGCTTTACTTCTCCGCCTCTCTGACTACACTCTAAAAAATGCTGGGTTGTTTCAACCCAAATTTGGGTCAAATATGGACAAACCCAAATGATGGGTTAAAAATGTAATTAAAAAATGTACAGTTGAAAGTCGAAGTTGAAGTTGGGTTAAAATTTTAAATTACATTTTTAACCCAACATTTGGGTTTGTCCATATTTGACCCAAATTTGGGTTAAAACAACCCAGCATTGTTTAGAGTGTTCAATTTTCTGAGATTTTGAATTTGGGGTTTTCATAAGCTGTAAGCCATAATCATCCATATAAATATCCATCCATTATAAGCCATAATTATAACTTTTGCACGATATTCAAATTTTCCGAGTTTCACCTGTATAGTTGTCGATTCCTTCACACTGTGGGAATAAACACTCTAAAAAATGCTGGGTTGTTTCAGCCCAAATTTGGGTCAAATATGGACAAACACAAATGTTGGGTTAAAAATGTAATTAAAACATTTACAGTTGAAAGTGAAAGTTGGGTTAAAATTTTAAATTACATTTTTAACCCAACATTTGGGTTTGTCCATATTTGACCCAAATTTGGGTTGAAACAACCCAGCATTTTTTAGAGTGTACTTTGACAGAAACACACTGACACTGCACGCTCGCTCAGAGGCCATAGGGGGAGATGTTTAAAGATGTGATTGGGCCAGCCCAGTGCCCAAAAACATCATTGCATTACACCGGCACAAAGACCCCAGCGCCGTCAATTAAGCAAAACAAAACAAAAAGAATGGGCCGCGGTGTATGATTTATATGGGCCACTCAGACACAAAAAAAGGCCCATAAAGCACGTTGGTCCACCGGGAAAATGCCCGATCTGCCAGATGGCCAGTCCGCCCCTGCAGCAGCATAACACCAATCATGTAATTTAATTATAATCAAATCATTTAATTAAGACATTGAAACATTTATTTTAATATTTAAATTTATTTAAAACAAAAACGATTTGCATTTTTCAACATTAATTAGTGTTGATGCTGTGGAATCCTTTTCTATTGATATATAGCAGCTTTCACACCGAAGGAACCTTTTCATAGTTCCTAGAACTAAAGGCGGAAGTTCCCATTTCATTGGCGTGTTTGTACCGCAGGAACTAAGAACGATTTTTTGTTCTAGAAACTCGTTTTGGGGGAACTAAATTAGCTCCTACTTCAGATTAGGGTCTAACCCAGCACTAGGAACTACCAGTGACGTAAGTGTACTCTAATTGGCCGAACGCACGTGAAACACCAGCTCGCCATTTTTTAAAAAGCTGTATAAATGCACAGATTATAGCCTATATATTTACTCCACAAACTAACTCTATGAACATGTGATAGATGAACTTCTTAACCTTTACGCTTTGAGGGGACCAAGTGAAACATGATTCTGCTCAGCTAGCAACACTGGACATCAACCACACGGCATAAGCTAATGCCTTTTCATATACTGTCCACTTTCTTTGTATAACAGTTCTATCTAATAACATATTAGACAATACTGTTAGACAGACCGTAAACTAATGAAGACAGAGAATGCAAGCACTGTGTGTTCAGACTCTGCATTCTCAGCGCCGTCAAAATAAAGGTCCGGTGCGCCGTCAAAATAAAAGTCACAACAACAAGCACAGCTTACTTCACTTCAGAGTTCCTACTGGCGGTGCGAATGCAATCAGGAAAATGTTCCTAGCGGAACCATTAGTTCTCGGGGAACCACCCTGGTGGCTAGTTCCTAGAACTAAGTTCCTAGAACTACTTGGTGCGAAAGCCCCTATTGTCTCTTTATTTATAGTTGGAGCAATGATGCAAACATGAGTTCATCAATGGCTCCAACAACTCCAGGGAAGCTCGCAATCCTCATAAAAATGGCTTGCTTTTGATGAATAAACATCTGCACATCCCCTTTGGCCATTACTGTATTTAAGACCCTGCTTACTTCGGACTGATGAGCCCCAAGTCATTTTTGGTGCACTGGTGCATTTTTCCAGTTGCCAAAAAATGTCATTATTACTTTCATTACTGCAGTTAGAGAATTGATTTGTGGAGTGGGAGAGGTTATTAAATTCAGGTCAGTTACAAAAAGAATACCTTGACTATCAAGTCTGTGTCGTGTTATCAACTCCCTGTCATCATATAACTCCAATACATTATACTGTATCTTCATTGGAAAGTGTATGGTCTCCTCCTCTGTGCTACCATCTTGTTACTCCTAACTAGGTTAGGATACTTATCCAGCTCTTTTAAATAATTTAGAAGCTAAGACTTAGTCTTAACACTTAGGAATCTTAATGAATCACACTAATTCTTAAGTTTATGAATAAGAGTAAAATTGCATCATTCTTAGAATTTTGACACACTATTACTTTTACTCTGAGTGGAGTTATACATACAGCCCCTGATCTGATCTGAACTGAGAGAGTGAAGAGTGTCATTGTTTCTTACAGGTTGAAGGATTGTGGCGTCACAGATGAAGGTTGTGCTGATCTGGCTTCAGCTCTGAGATCAAACCCCTCACATCTGAGACAACTGGATCTATCTGAGAATAAACTGGGAAGACATTCAGTAAATCTTCTCTCTGCTTTACTGGAGGATCATCACTGTAAACTGGAGATACTGGGGTAAGATCATATTTTACTCTCACACATGAATCACAATGTAAAGTATATTTGCAGTGTTCAGCCTCTTTCTGCTGCTGTGAGTTTAGCTGATTGAGCTGTAAATGATTGAACACACGAGCTGCTCCTCAATAACATGAAGGGCTTTCGCACCGGATCGTCCTAGGGACTAGCCAGGGTGGTTCCCCGGGAACTAATGGTTCCCATAGGAATGTTTTCCTGGTTGCATTCGCACCGCCAGTAGGAACTCTGAAGTGACGTTTGCAACGCTTGTTATTGTGACTTTTATTTTGACGGTGCGGCATACTTTTATTTTAACGCCACTGAGAACGCCAGCCAGGGACTGGCGGATTAATACGAAACTGAAATATGGGCTTAACTTTGGATACGTGAAAGACGGGATGAATCCTCCTGTACGCTGGAGGCAATTTTAGGCGGACTGCCACCGGACTAATGATCTTGGTGACAGTGAACGGGCCAATAAATTTGGGAGCAAGTTTATTAGAAACGGAGCGTAGAGGAATGTTCTTTGTAGAAAGCCACACTTTTTGACCAATGACGTATACGGGAGGCCTTGACCGGTGGCGATCGGCCTTAGCCTTGGTGCGCGCCCCCACCTGGAGTAGAGTCTCCCGGGCTCTAGTCCAGGTGCGGTGACACCTCTGGACGAAGGCGTGAGCAGAGGGAACCGTGACCTCGGATTCCAGTCTGGGAAAAATTGGTGGCTGGTAACCTAAACTACACTCAAACGGAGATAGACTCGTGGATGACACTGGTAACGCATTGTGGGCGTACTCCACCATGGACAGTTGTTGGCTCCATGAGGAAGGATTCTTGGAAACCATACATCGCAACACTCTCTCCAGATCCTGGTTGGCTCTCTCGGTTTGGCTATTGCTCTGGTGATGAAACCCTGAGGACAGACTAACAGTCGCACCCAGTAATTTACAAAACTCTCGCCAAAATTTGGACACAAACTGGGGTCCCCTGTCGGAGACCACGTCCATCGGGAGGCCATGTAAGCGAAAGACATGATCTACGACTGTCAACGCTGTCTCCTTAGCTGAAGGTAATTTGGGTAAGGGAATAAAGTGAGCCGCCTTTGAGAACCGGTCCACCACAGTCAAAATGACCGTGTTACCCTGGGAGGGCGGTAATAAAATCTAGTGCGATATGGGACCAGGGTCTCGAAGGGACAGGCAGCGGTTGAACCCTTCTGGAGGTCGATTGGAAGTCTTACCAGTGGCACAAACCGAGCAAGCCAAAACAAAACTGTGAATGTCACGAGCCATAAGTGGCCACCAGAATTGTTGCTTGACTAAAAAGCTAGTGCGATTAACTCCTGGATGACAAGCCACGTTGGAGCAATGACCCCACTGAATGACGTCAGACCGTAATCCCTCCGGCACAAATAAACGATTCGGTAGGCAACCGGGCAGAGGCGTTACCCCTTCTAAGGCCATCTTTACCTTCGATTCGACCTCCCATACGAGTGTGGAGATAGAGTCTCGGGTAAAATGCACTCGGAAGTAGACGGGCGTTCGGAACGATCAAAAATGCGCGACAAAGAATCGGGTTTAATGTTCTTGGAACCTGGGCGGTACGAGAGAGTAAACGTCCGGAAAAAAAGTGCCCACCGAGCCTGTCTAGAGTTCAATCTTTTCGCGGTTTTAATGTATTCCAAATTCTTATGATCGGTCCAGATGATAAAAGGTACACCTGACCCTTCTAACCAGTGACGCCATTCCTCCAACGCTAACTTGACTGCCATCAACTCCTGGTTACAAATGTCATAATTGCGTTCGGCAGGGGACAAACAATGAGACAAAAACGCGCACGTCTGTGGGAGAACGCTGGGATATCACTGCACCTACCCCCACCTCTGATGCGTCGACCTCCACCACGAACTGACGTGATGTATCAGGGACAATGAGGATGGGTGGCTGAAACAAAGCGGCCCTTCAGTTTGGCAAACGCAGCCTCAGCTGCATCTGACCACCTGAACGTAGTTCTGGGGGAGGTCAAAGCAGTCAGAGGTGCGGCTAGTTGGCTGAAGTTGCGAATAAACCGCCGGTAAAAATTGGCAAATCCCAGAAACCTCTTTAGGACCTTACGGGAATCTGGACTTGGCCAATTCACTACAGCCTTAATCTTCTCAGGATCCATACGTATTCCCTCAGTCGACACAATGTATCCTATGAAAGGAACAGACTGTGCATGAAAAATGCATTTCTCCGCCTTGACAAAAAGCCCATTCTCTAGCAACCTCTGAAGCACTCGCCTGACGTGCTGAACGTGTTCCTGGAGAGAAGATGAAAATATCAATATGTCATCCAGGTAAACATATATGAACTGGTCAACCATATCTCGCAGCACGTCGTTGACGAGTGCCTGGAAGACTGCTGGGGAGTTGGACAAACCGAAAGGCATGACCAAGTATTCAAAGTGCCCCCTAGGGGTGTTAAAAGCAGTCTTCCACTCATCCCCTTTCCTAATGCGGACCAAATGATAAGCATTACGTGAGTCCAATTTAGTGAAGATAGACGCTCCCTGCAACCTCTCGAAAGCTGAAGACATCAACGGTAAAGGATAGGCATTCTTTACCGTGATGCTGTTCAACCCTCGGTAATCAATACAAGGTCGCAGAGATCCATCCTTCCCCACAAAAAAAGAACCCCGCCCCCGCTGGAGAAGAGGAAGATGCGAGACCAGTGCGTCTCTCAGGTGTCGCTCATTACCACTCACGCCACCGGCCTCGCGCCGCTCTCACGTCACTCGGCCTCATCCTGCTCGCCATAAAGTTACCTTCAGCCCCTGAATCCACCAGTGCTTGACAGTCGTGATTGTGGGCTGACCGGGAGGAGCGTAGATGTTGATGAGGTCTTCTCAGCGGAGATCCCACCCGACAGTAGCCTCATACTTACTTACTTACTGTCGGGCTTGGCCTTTTACCGGACAGTTATACGCGTAGTGTCCCGCTGCTCCGCAGTAAAGGCAGTCCTTGGGATCTCCGCCTTTCCTTCTGCATGGGCTCGTGATCGTAGACGGGGCTGACCACGTCCCCGCCGCTGGACCGCTGACTCTCGGCTCCTCCCAACACTCTGCTGGGCAGTACCCATCGTTCAACCCTGGTGAGTCGCGCATCCACTCGAAGAGCCAGATCCACCAGTCCATTTAGCGAAGTAGGTAGGTCCAGGGCGTAGATTTCCCTCGGAACGCGGTCAGCCAGCCCATGCAGGAACATGTCCCACTGCGCCTCCTCGTTCCACTGACACTCTGCCGCCAAGGTTCTGAACTCAATCGAGTAATCTGACACCGACTTTTCTCCTTGTTTGAGTTCCGCGAGCATCCGGGACACCTCTCTCCCGCCGACGGCTCAGTCAAATACTCTCTTCATCTCGGCGGAGAGTGTCTGGAACGAGGCGCAGCATGGATCCTGGTTCTCCCACACCGCTGTCCCCCATAGCACAGCTCTCCCAGTCAATAAGGTGAGCACAAAAGCAACCTTGGCTTGCTAATGGCAAAAGGTTCTAGGCTACAGAGAGAAATGCATTGAGCAACGGGTTAAAAATGCTCTACAAAAGCTTGGCTCACCGTTGTAGGATTGAGAAACCAGTAGGCGGGGCTCTGACTGGGAAGCGCTCTCTGGTGGGGGGGGACTAACGTGACCTGCCAGAACTGACGCTATGCTTGATTTCTAGGAACTATGAAAAGGTTCCTCCGTTGCGAAAGCCCCTATGATACTGCACGACTGAGAGTCACACTGAAATACACACTTTCACATCACAATCAACATTTCAGTCTCAATTTTAAACAGACTTGAGCTCAACACAGAACTGAGAAATACTGGTTCTGTTCTGGCGAGAACTCCCTGCGCATCCATGCAGCCTAGCATGGATAAGAGCAGGGAGAGCAGCAATAACCCCCCTTAGGGTAAACGGAACAGAACTAACATGAATCTATTGCAGATATCATCAATTAATTTTAATGTACAACATAATTAGAGAATTTTAGTCTGATTCAGGGGAATCAGAATGCCAAAACCTGACTGACAAGAGGAGGAGCTGGGGATGAAGGAGGGTAATTAGCTCCTGACAAAACGAGATCGCTGTTGATAATACTGAAGGAGCTTATATGGATGCTGTGATAGCTGTCGTATTCCTATTGGTAGATGTGGATCAGCTGAGAGTCAGCTGATACGAGCTTGACTAATGTGACCTGCCAGAACTGATGCTACTCTTGATGTTTATTCTTACAGTTTATCACATTCACACTCCATTTAAAATGTTGTTTTAATTGTGTAAACACACACAAATCACTATTTGTTATATTTAAATATAAATTCAATTTCATGTTTATTTGTATAGCACTTTTCACAATACATATTGTTTCAAAGAAGCTTTACAGAAAATGGTTGTTTCAATGTTACAATTTAGGAATTATTCTGCTATCAGAAATTAGTGTATTAAAGTCCCACTCCGATCATATTTTGAGCTATTTTTAAACATTCCCAATGGTCTTTAAATTATGATTATGCCATTTTTATCCAAAATCACAAAACCTGTGCCGTTTTCTGGGACTTCGCTTCAGCAGAGCGGCAGTAGCTCATTAGCAATTCGCCTCTGCGTTGTGGGCGGAGCCGTTGGCCCGGAGACGACCCTCCCCCTGCCCGTTGCTGAGAGCTCTGTCTCTCCCGCTAGCTTACATCCCCAATACCGGTGGGGCAACAGTATTATATACACATTAATTATTATTATCCGAAGTTAATCAAAGTTATCACCGATCACCGATCATTATTTCACTCCAAGACGTCGCGTGTGGAGACGCCCAGTGGAGTTACTACGTCACAACTCCAGTCGATTTTAGCCAGCATTTTAGCGTCTGCTACTGATTCACAGCCATTTGAATGTAGAAATACTCAGAAATACAACTTTGAGCTGATTTTTCTCAAGATTTGTCCTCTAACATCAGAAAAATGCCACAAGAACATGTTAACACCTAGA